TCTCCTCCTCCCTCGCCTCCGCGCAAATGAGCTCTGCGGCCACGCGGAGCCGCTTTTAAAGGCCTTCCCGGCCAATAGGAAACAGCCACGCTGCACTGCTTGGGTGCTTGGGAGCGCCGGATTGGCTCCCAGGCACCAGCAGCCTCCACCCCAGTAACGAAACGGGCGGAAGCTCGTAAAATCTATGGGGTTACCGCCTCGTTATTTTTAAACCCTTCCGGGTTTGAAAAAGTGTTTCAATATCGCTTCGGAAATGCCAAAAATAACGAATGTTTTACGAATAACGGAATTAACGAACGAAACCGCACAGGCCTAGTTTCATGTACAAAAAACACATTGAAAGTAAAACAAAAAACATAGCAAACGTTTGATACACCTTAGGCAAAGTAATTATATGGATCATGTCAACCAGCAAATCCAAGAAGATGTAATCATGGCAACCTAGGAGGTCTTGACAATAAGAAAGGAGCGAGACATCATCTGTTTGGCAGTGATAATGTTACTGTGCATGAACTCTCATTCCCAGAAGCGTAGAAGAAGAGTAGCTGAAGGGTGAAGTGTTAACTTCAGACACAGAGAATGATTTGATAAGAGCGGCCTGAGCAAAGGTGCCGACCTCCTAGGATGAGACTCTGAGATAAATGAGTTCTGTGCGGAACCTATATTTATCCTGCTAAAAGGCAACAGAGGAGAAATTGCATCCAGCAAGAAGAAGAAAAAATAGGCAACCACAAGATGTTTGGTGTGTTGTAATAATGTTTAATCAAGACATTTGTTTCCAACTAGTTTCTTTGGCCATCAAGATCCATACAACAGCAACATCATGCATTCCTTAACATAGACAAGGTGCCATATTAACAAAGCTATCTCTCTACAGTGCAGCCGGCAAAAATCCGGACATTATTGCTTCAGTGAATGGGATTCCCAGTAGGGGATATACTGTGTCAGGTTTGTTGTGCAACCAGGTTATTTCTCTCTCTGTGTGTGTAATTGTGATCAATCTCTCCCTTCATTTGCCCAACTGTAGAAAGAGGGCAGTGGGACAATGGGTTTCTTTTAGTGTAAACATCAAGTCATTGTGGAATATATTGCATGAAACAGAAGCAAAAAAGACGGAAAACATCTAGGAAAACCTGGTGTAAAGGAGAGACTGAGTCTCAGAATGTATACAAAAGTTAGTTTTATATCAGAAATTAACCCAACATGCCTTTGAAGACTGTTTGGAAATTACAACTAGTCCAATGGGCTGCAGCCAGATTACTAACTGGAGCGACATACAGGGAGCATACCACCCCCTTGTTGTGCCAGCTCCACTGGCTGCCAGTCCACTTCCAAACTCAATTCAAAGTGGTGGTTTTGACCTATAAAGCCCTATACAGTTCTGGCCCAGCTTACTTGTCTGAATGCATCTCCCTCTACATCCCGCTTTACAGTTTAAGATCATCTGGGGAGGCCCTGTTCTCGCTCCCGCCAGCATCGCAAATATGTCTGGTGGGGATGAGAGACAGGGCCTTCTCGACTGTGGCCCCCTGCCTGCGGAACTCGCTTCCCACCGAGGTAAGATCGGCTTCATCCCTCCTGTCTTTTAGGAAGAAATTGAAGTCGTGGTTCTGGGACCAGGTTTTTGGACAGCAAGCATAAATAGCATTTTGGATATGGAATTCGACTGGAATAGCAATACGACTGTTAATACTGATTTTATTGTTTTAATTAATGTTCTATTTATTCTGACCTCTGAGGAAGCTTGCCATAGATGCAGGCGAAACGTCAGGAGAAATGCCTCTAGAACATGGCCATATAGCCCGAAAAAACCCACAAGAACTGAGTTCTATTTATTGTTTTAATTGTTGTTGTATTGCTTTGTTATATGTAGTGGCATCAAATTGTTGCCAAATGTAAGCCGTCCTGAGTCCCCCTTCAGGGGTTGAGAAGGAATGGGGTAGAAATACTGGAAATAAATAAATCAATTTGATCAAGGAATATTTATATGGTCTTCTTTAGAGGAAAACTGCTTAAAATCTATTTGCTAACATTTTACATAGGTGTCTCCAAATATGATCTGTTACTTCTCAGAGAAACAATTTTGTAAAATCCTTGCAAGTTGATTTTAGCTACTTTTTTCTAAAGTTTTAGGATAATTTCTGGAATAAAACCTTCTTTTATATATACTTTCACATTTACTCAAAACAGAAAGACGCACAACTGCCCACGAGACCCAGAAGGGACCTTTTGTTTTCAATCTAAAAGAAAAGAAATCCAGTTTGATATAGAAGGAGGAATATTTTTGTCAAAGGGGAAACAAACCCTCCCTCACAATATACTTGTCTTCCATCCATACCCTTTGGATTTTCCTTATAGTGATGGTTCAAAAGATTGATCACATTTATATGGACCACCACACCAACGTCTTATTGGCATCATCTGGGCATTTGCTTCTTTTTCCTCTTCATCCCTTTTCTTGCTGAGTACCCTCTACCAAGGTCTTCTCTTATAAAGTGAACTTGGGTTTTGTTTTGTTTTACAGAAAAATAATCACCTGCTTTCTGACACTATATAAAATAAACACCTTCAATGGACTATCCTAATGCACTCTGGAAAAAAAATCATTTGCAGGGGAATAGAAAGCTCATTAAAGGAGGCTTAGAAGCTAATAGAAGAATCAATTTAGTGCACTAGGGGAAAGAAGAAAGCACAAAATAAACCCACTTTAATTGGACCAATAGTTGATTGTGTACTTACAAGAAAGAAGTGAAAAACTTTGTGTTATCCCATACATCTCCTTTGCAAGCAGGGCCTTGATATCTGTTGATGTCTAGTCTCAATGCATCCTTCAAAGGGCTATAAGTGTAACACCTTTTAGCATTAGAAAGCTAATGAAGGATCTTGACATTACCACCTAGAAGCTATTAATACATCCTCTCAGAAGCCCTGATTAACACGGTGGTGTATTCAATGCATCCTGAGAACATATGTGCTCACAAACGCCAAATTTAATTCTCAGGGACTATTGTGTGCCAAGTTAATGTTGAGACAATCCCAAAGTTATACACAAAAAAGGAGAAGCTATGTTTTTGACGATGCCAGGAGAACAATGCATGTCTACTCCGTAGTGCTTGCCTATGCATGTATTAACCAGGACTAACCCTGTTTAGCTGCCAAGATCAGCCAAGCTCTGGTACCTTTGGGTTATTACTTTTCCATGATTTAGATCATATTATTACCCTTTACAAGAATAGTCCACTTCCGAGCACAATTCAAAGTCTTGACCTATAAAGCCCTACATGGTTCCGGCCCAGCTTACTTGTCTGAACGTGTCTCCCTCTACGTCCCACCTCACAGCTTAAGATCGTCCGGGGAGGCCCTGCTCTCGATTCCACCAGCTTCGCAAATGCGTTTGGCGGGGACAAGGGACAGGGCCTTCTCAGCTGTGGCCCCCGTCTGTGGCAAGCTACTCATGGACCAGGCCTTGATGGATCATGAAGTAATATCTTCACTGAACCAAAAAATATATGGAAAAAACATACTTTTGAGATTTGGGCTAATGCATTACCAATATGGATTTCTTTTCTTTTAAAAAATAGTACTGGTGAAACATTTTGAAGTTCAGACTTAGATCCTATTGTTAGTCCATACTAAAGTGAACCCACGTAATCAATAGGATTTACATCACTGTTGGATGCAATGGAGTTACTCCAGTTAGCACTTCCAAAAGAATTCTGGCCCAGGGCAGGGTTTTAGCAATCACTTTAATAAGAGAATCTATGCACCACAATGTTATATCAGCTTTCCTCAAGGGTGGTTGAGTTGATTGTCAAGTTTTACTATGTCTTCTCCTGCCTTGACAGATAACACGGAGTGACATGGGCATTTGAAGTTCTTACCCTATATTCTGTTTTGGTTTTTAAAATCTCTTTAAGCAATCACAGCACATTGAAAAAATATCTGTTCAGCTAGGGGCTAATTTAGAAATGCATATACATCATTTGATTTCATTACACTTGATTACTGCTAGCTGAAAGTGTCAATTAACTCAGCTGAAAAGCGCTGCATCTGAGATTATACAAAAGTTTTGACTGTGAAGTTAAATCTCTAGTGGCCCATTCACACTTGGAAGTCAGCTAGAAAGATGAATAGGCGAAACAGAGCAAATTAACCATTTCTGTCGCTCCTTGAAGAATGCAATGTGCATTGTACAACACATTTAGGAATGTAGGGGAACTTATAGTTACAAAGGTTCCCTCTGCAAACCTTTCACTATGGAACAATCTGGAGATATTCAATGTATTGTCGAAAGCTTTCATGGCTGGAATCACTGGGTTGTTGTAGGTTTTTTTGGGCTATATGGCCATGTTCTAGAGCCATTTCCTCCTGACGTTTCGCCTGCATCTATGGCAAGCATCCTCAGAGGTAGTGAGGTCTGTTGGAACTAGGAAAATGGGTTTATATATTTGTGGAATGACCAGGGTGGGACAAAGAACACTTGTCTGCTGGAGCTAGGTGTGAATGTTTCAACTGACCACCTTGATTAGTATTTGATGGCCTGGCAGTGCCCCGGGCAATCTTTTGTTGAGAGGTGATTAGATGTCCCTGATCGTTTTCTCTCTGTTGTTTTGCTGTTGTAATTTTTGAGTTTTTTTAATACTGGTAGCCAGATTTTGTTCATTTTCATGGTTTCCTCCTTTCTGTTGAAACTGTCCACATGCTTGTGGATTTCAGTGGCTTCTCTGTGTAGTCTTGACATGGTGGTTGTTAGAGTGATCCAGCATTTCTGTGCTCTCAGATAATATGCTGTGTCCAGGACATCTAATTACCTCTCAACAAAAGATTGCTCCAGGCACTGCCAGGCAATCAAATGCTAATCAAGGTGGTCAGTTGAAACATTCACACCTAGCTCCAGCAGAAAATAGTTCTTTGTCCCACCCTGGTCATTCCACAGATATATAAACCTATTTTCCTAGTTCCAACAGACCTCACTACCTCCGAGGATGCTTGCCATAGATGCAGGCAAAACGTCAGGAGAGAATGCTTGCCATAGATGCAGGCGAAATGTCAGGAGAGAATGCCTCTAGAACATGGCCATATAGCCAGAAAAAACCTACAACAACCCAATCTGGAGATAAACGATGCATGTTCAGAGATGTCCTTTTCCTCAATGAAAGAGAAGAGCCAGCAGTGCAGATGGCTCGGGACATATGACTGAAAGTCTTCTTGAGCAGAAGAAGACAGCAATAGTTGAGTATATGTATTAGGGAACATATTGTCCTTTCAGGCATCTGGGGATTCTGGGAGTAGAAACCCAAATCAGAAAAAATGCCAAACTTTGGGATTCTGCTCAAGGAAGTAGCTAGAAGCAGGTAATAATGCTACAACTGGATCAGTAAAGAGGTACTAATTGGGTTTTTTTAAATGTTATTCATCCAATTTACCAGCTACACTCTTGGTTGTGAGAGACTCAAGCTCACATACCTTTGCTACAGATTTAGCAAGTGGCATTTGGCCACTTACATGCCTTTAATTTGCTTTTGCAGATCAAAAGATGGCCATTTTAAAGTGATTTGTGTTCCCAAAGTGCTCTGGAAACCCTAAGGGCAAAATTCCAACATGGACCACAGAGAAATATATTTGAACCTTTCCTGCTTTGCCATTTAGAATGATTTTGTAATGGAGGAAAAGCTGGCACAAGTGTCAAAATCCTTTTTTTGAAAAACACACTGATGAATTATGCTCCAGAGCTTCAGAACCTGTAATGTCCTTTTAGCTCCCTTTGGAGGTGTTTGATGGATGAAATACAGGGGAGAGGATTTTTGATCTGTACTTTGGTTGCCAGAAGCAAAAAAAAAAAATGCTCAAAAACTTATCGCTAAGCTACTATAAAGCTCGGGCCATTTTGTAAAAACGAAGAAAATGTGCTTTCAGGCTTGATCTTAACATTATGTGGGTCATAGGTAAGGTGCTTACTTAGGTTAATGTTTCATGCATACAATCCTGTCTGACTCCACTTACCATGTACACTAGATTATACACATAAGTAATCACTGGCTTCTGTGAGTATATATATATATGTGTGTGTGTGTGTGTGTGTGTGTATGTGTGTGTGCCTTCAGGTTGCCTGTTGACTTACGGTAACCCCAGGTTTCTTAGTCGAGGAATACTCCGAGTTGTTTTACCATTTCCTTCCTCTGAAATATAGTCTAGAGCACCTAGTAATTCATTGGTCTAACTAGAACTGACCCTGCTTAGTTTCCAAGATCAAAGAGGATCTGCTACCATTAGGGGATTTAGGCCACTGATTACTAGTGTTCTACATGTGAGTGACCCAGTAGACACACTCAATCCATTTCATGCATGATACCTTTACACATGCAAGTGCTTTTTCCATGGGCTGGACTGTATATAAAATGGTAGGGTGCTATTGCACTCATACCCAGTTGGAGGATTTCCCAGAGACATCTGATTAATCATTGTGGAAACAGAAGACTGGGCTAAAACGGCTGTTCCTCTGATCCATGAGGCCTGCTATGCTCCTGGCAAACATGTCTCCTGCTTGACCATCCAATCCAAAGACGAAAAATACCAGCTTAGTTGTGCTGATAATGCTCAGATATCAGTGCAATCTTCTGATAGATGGGACGGAATGAAATCTTGTTTGTTTGTTTTCACATTACAAAAGTACATCTATAGATGACAAATAGCTGGAAGCATGCTGGCAAAGTGAGGAAAGACAGGACGATCAGGGTCTCTCAACCTCTCCTGTGACATTCTCAGCTTAGTTCCCAAAATCCATCTGGCTGAGGAAGGTCCCTGAGAAATGGTCCTCACTGTTGCCAGCCATGTGATGAGGGAGCTGCCGCGGGCTCAAGGGGCAAACGGAGACCAAAGAAATGCCCAGGGAGTCAAAAACGAAGGCAACATTTCATATCAAGGACGAGGGGAAATAATGAAATGCAAAAGCAGTTAGCCCCGCTAGAACAAAGTGCGTAACAGGCTCCATAGTGAGACATCTTGGTCCGTGACCAATAGAAATGTCCTGCCTCTTTTTGCTTTCCAATAAGAGGCTCTACCAACCCTGAGCAACATCCAAACACACATATACACACATACACGGACAGACAGACACAACACACTGATGTGGCGTTCTTGGCCAGAGAAAGCCTTTGTATGTCCACATGTCATACGCATGCGACACAAAATTATCACTACGGGTTGGGTGCAGAAGAAGCATTATGCCAAGATATAAAGAGCCCTATAGGGTAAAGGCTGGTTGACCACAACCAACATTTGTTGCCATGGAAGTGGAACCCAAAGACAAAGTAAAAAGGGGTTGAACCACAGCAGTGGAAATCTCCTATGCACCCTATGCCACAGAGATGTCAGTGGCGCCCTCTGAAAAAATGGCAGAGGGCTCTATTGGAAACCAACAAACCAACAGAAACATCAGACTGGAGACAAATTTCCAGCCCCAGCTAGACAGAAGCAGGAAGGCCCCACTCTAAGTGGACCTCAAGCTGATCCCTTCCACCTTCTTCTGTCCTCCAAAACAAAGCCATCCTCAATCCACCCAGAAGATTCCATAAAAGAGTGAATAGCCAAGTGCACAGGGATGGGATGGGCTGGACTGGACTCAGGCAGAGCTGTCTTTGCCTGTGGACATTATTTTTAAACTTTTCCATCTTGCTTTGCGCTCTTGTTATGTCATCAGATTTCTGTTAGGGCATCTGCAGGCACAAGTCCCCGTTTTTTCCCACTTGTCACCTTGATGTAACCCTCATTCTCCTTGGTCTTCCCCACACCAACACAGATCTGAGGAGACAAAAAAAAGGTAAATGTTGTTAAGAGGACTCTAGAGACAAACAGAAAAAAATGATACTTGGATGTCAGAGTTTTGATAAAAGAGCAACAGAGTGGGTGGGAAGAGAAAGCAGACGGATTGTCAGATTGCCCTGAGGGTTTGCTAATCCATGAACTTCAGGGCTGTCAAGTTACAATTTCTAAATATTGCTTATCACAATTTTTAAAAAACCAAAGGTGTCTATAGACACATACAATAAAAACACATTCAGAGTCAGCAGTAGCAACATGTCTTGGGTCCACATCCAAAGAAAACATCCACCAAGATATTTTGCTGTTAAAATGGTGCAGGAAATGGTATCCCAACCTCCTGCCCAAGTCAACATGGATCATTTATCAGGTGTAATAGAGTTATTTATTTATTTATATCATTTTTACCCCACCCATATCAGCCCAAAGGCAACTCAGGGCGGCGAACAATCGGCACAATTCGATGCCATATATAAAATACACACATCAATAAAAACAATACATCACATTACAATATATCTAAAAACATCAAACCAGTGAACAATAAAATTTTTAAAACTTTGTCGTTATATTCAGTCCTCATCCGTTCCGTCGTCTTAGCCATTCCTAGGTCGTTTTCCAATTCAGGTTTATCTGATTAAGCTGAGGCTCCAAAAGCTTGCTCTAAGAGCCAAGTTTTCCGTTTTTTTCGAAAGCTTAGGAGGGAGGGGGCCGATCTGATATCCCTGGGCAGGGAGTTCCACAGGGAGTTCCGTAGATCATTTCAACACCTAACGAGTGAAACCTACACATCTCCAACCCTTCTCTATCATTATGTGCTATCAAGTTGGCTTCAGCTTATGGAGACTTTAAGAATGAGACCTCCAAGAAATCCAATTACTAACAGTGCTGCTGATATCTTGCAGAATAAGGTCATGCTTTCCTTTATTAAGTGAATCCACTTGCAATATTGTGGTATGGTAGTTAGGTTGTTAAACCAGGACTCCAGAGACCAGAGTTTGAATCCCTGCTCAACCATGGATACCTGATAGGCAATCTTAGTCTCCTTCCACACAGCTGTATAAAATCTACATTGGATTATATGGCAGTGTGGACTCAGATAATCCAGTTCAAAGCAGATATTGTGGATTATTTGTCTCGATATTCTGGGCTATATGGCTGTGTGGAAGGGCCCTTGGGCAAATTGCACTTTCTAAGCCTCAGAGAAAGTCAAGGGCAAATTGACTCTTAACAAATATTGACAAGAAAATTCCATGATAGGTACACCTATTGTTTTTCTCTTTTTCTAGAAGAAGAAGAAGAAGAAGAACTTTATTTTTCTACCCCGCCTCCATCTCCCCGAAGGGACTCGGGGCGGCTTACATGGGGGCCAAGCCCAAGACAGAATACAATTAAAAACAAAGCAATAACAATTAAGACAGCATAAAACAGCGTAAAACAACATAGCTAGCAACAATAATAATAGCAGACTAATTTTGGAGGGGGGGAAGAAGGCCACTACGTGAGCTAGTTAAAGGATAAGGTGGTTTAGTAAGGTGGATAACAATGTATAATGSCATAGGAAATATCATGGAAACAGAGCAAATTAACAGGATCAGAAACAATTCAGTTAATATAGTATAGGACATCAGATTAAATGACAATTCAGGTCATGATAAAGGCCATTTGTCATAGGAGTCGTCAATCAAAAGCACGACGAAACATCCACGTCTTTAATTCCTTACCAAATGTAGCTAGGGAGGGTGCCAGCCTAATCTTCTTGGGGAGGGAGTTCCAGAGACGGGGGGCCACCACCGAGAATGCCCTCTCTCTTGTCCCCACCAACCGTGCCTGAGACGGGCACAGGAGCGAGAGAAGAGCATCCCCAGAAAATCTTAAGAACTGCATAGGCTCGTAAGGGAGGAGGTGGCCGCGCAGATAGGCAGGTCCTGAACCATTCCTACAGCTCCAGTGTAATCCTTTTTGCTTGGAGGGAAAAGGTTTAGATTTCATTTCCTTGCAGACCCATTTTTGGCAGTCCATATTATTTGTAGAACTCTGTTCCAACTCTATATTTCAAATGAATTGATTCTCTGTGGTCCCATCAACTTTTTTCACTGTCCACAAATAGAAATTGGAAATACTATGGCCTACATGATCCTGACTTTAGTATAAAAACAAAGCAATAACAAAGGTAAGAACTAATAATTGCTGGTCTATTTATGTGAGCTGCTTGAGGTGGCTGTCTCAATCTGCCTAGTGGGAGTGCTTTGGGGCTGTTTTTCACCCTATTCCCACCCCTTCTTTGTGCCCCTCCTCATCTCTGCATTGCAATGTTCTGGATCTCACTTCCTTTGTTAGGTGTTTGTAACTACCCGCCCCCTTTTTTCATGCCACAAATTATCTTAGTTTTGTCTGCCAGTGACATATTAAGATACATCAAAATGAATCTGTCTGCAGGGGCCCATTGGGACTAGATACTGAAGTATCAGACAGACAGATAAAGGGGCTCCAAGATCATTAGCAGGTCTTTGTTAGTTTCAGAAGGGAGGGAACTTGCAATGCACAGGAGTCTTTAACTCAAACATTCTAGTGATAACAACAGATGGTGTCTATTGTTGGGTGTGGAATGTAAGAACATACCTGCACATGATTGTTATTGTTGCTGTTGTGTGCCTTCAAGTAGTCTCCAATTTATGGCAACCCTATCACGGGATATTCCGAGGCTAAGAGTGTGCAACTTGCCCAAAGTTACTTCACGACAGAGTGGTAAATCAAATGCTATTTTCCAGAGTCCTGGGCCCTTCCACACAGCCATGTTGTTGTTGTTCATTTGTTCAGTTGTTTCCGACTCTTTGTGACCTCATGGACCAGCCCATGCCAGAGCTCCCTGTCGGCCGTCACCACCCCCAGCTCCTTCAAGGTCAAGCCAGTCACTTCAAGGATACCATCAATCCATCTTGCCCTTGGTCGGCCCCTCTTCCTTTATCCTTCCATTTTCCCCAGCATAATTGTCCTCTCTAAGCTTTCCTGTCTCCTCATTATGTGGCCAAAGTACTTCATCTTTGCCTCTACTACCCTTCCCTCCAATGAGCAGTCGGGCTTTATTTCCTGAAGTATGGACTGGTTGGATCTTTTCACAGTCCAAGGCACTCTCAGAACTTTCCTCCAGCACCACAGTTCAAAAGCATCTATCTTCCTTCGCTCAGCCTTCCCTATGGTCCAGCTCTCACATCCGTAGGTGACTACGGGGAATACCATTGCTTTAACTATGCGGATCTTTGTTGCCAGTGTGATGTCTCTACTCTTCACTATTTTATTGAGATTGGACATTGCTCTCCTCCCAAGAAGTAAGCGTCTCCTGATTTCCTGGCTGCAGTCTGCGTCTGCAGTAATCTTTGCACCTAGAAATACAAAGTCTGTCACAGCCAACATTTTCTCCCTCTATTTTCCAGTTGTCAATCATTCTTGTTGCAATAATCTTGTTTTTTGATGTTTAGCTGCAACCCAGCTTTTGCGCTTTCTTCTTTCACCTTGATTAGAAGGCTCCTCAGCTCCTCCTCGCTTTCGGCCATCAAAGTGGTGTCATCTGCATATCTAAGGTTGTTAATGTTTCTTCCAGCAATTTTCACCCCAGCCTTGCATTCATCAAGCCCTGCACATCGCATGATGTGTTCTGCATACAAGTTGAATAGGTTGGGTGAGAGTATACAACCCTGCCGTATGCCTTTCCCAATCTTGAACCAGTCTGTTGTTCCATGGTCAGTTCTTACTGTTGCTATTTGGTCCTTATACAGATTCCTCAGGAGAGAGACAAGGTGATTTGGTATGCCCATACCACCAAGAATTGCCACAATTTATTATGATCCACACAGTCAAAGGCTTTAGAATAGTCAATAAAACAGAAATAGATGTTTTTCTGAAACTCCCTGCCTTTCTCCATTATCCAGTGGATATTGGCAATTTGGTCTCTCGTTTCTCTGCCTTTTCTTAACCCTCACAGCCATATAATCCAGAATTTCAAGGCAGATAATACACAATATCTGCTTTGAACAGGGTTATCTGAGTCCACACTGCCATATAACCCAGTTCAAAGTAGATAATGTGAGATTTTATACTGCTGTGTGGAAGAGGCTCTAGTCTAATCACAGCCCAACAAAAAAAATTCTAGGTCGTTTTGTTTTTTTTACCTGTGTCTGAGGTTATTTGGGGTGCTGATTCAGATGTTGTTGGACTGCAACTCTTGCCTGCACAGGCAACGCCACTGAATACTGGAAGGTTCAGTCCAATAATGTTAGGGGAATCACATAATCCCTGCTTTGGGGTACAGATTGCTTGCCCCAGTTGCTGAGTGTTTGCACTTACCTGGTTTTCCTTAAGGCTCAGCTGTCCCTGCTCCTTATTGCCATAGAAAGTCCGGTTGCATGTCCACACTGTTTCACCTGGACGAACCCGCTGCACAAAATTGGCTGGGAAGAAGCCTATGCGGTCGCCCAACTTTCCCTAGAACAGAGAATGAAAAATGTGAACTTTGTTTGAAATACTCATGTACCATTTTAAGGTAGTTTACACATGAAACAAATATAAAATAATACAAAAGCAGGAACTGGAACCATTAAGTGTCTAAAATTGGCAAAAATATTAAAAAGTAGTGAGTTTTTACAAATGTCTATTTAAAAGCCTTAGCCAACTTCATACTAATCACATAAAAGCAGATAGGTAAATTCTGTGTTGAGATAATAAAGGTTGATGTAGGTATCCACCAACATGAAAACGAAAAAACGAAATGCAAAGATACAGAATGGAGGACGCTTGGCTCGAGAGCAGTATATGTGAAAAAGATTTTGGAGTCCTCGTGGACAGCAAGTTAAACAAGAGCCAACAATGTCATGTGGCGGCAAAAAAAGCCAATGGGATTTTGACCTGCATCAATAGGACCATAGTGTCTAGATCTAGGGAAGTAAGGCTACCGTTCTATTCTGCCTTGGTTAGACCACACCTGGAATATTGTGTCCAATTCTGGGCACCACAATTGAAGAGAGATATTGAAAAGCTGAAATCTGTCCAGAGGAGGACGACTAAAATGATCAAGGGTCTGGAGAACAAGCCATATGAAGAGCGGCTTAAAGACCTGGGCATGTTTAGCCTGAAGAAAAGAAGGCTGAGAGGAGATATGATAGCCATGTATAAATATGTGAGGGGAAGTCAAAGGGAGGAGGGAGCAGGCTTGTTTTCTGCTGCCTTGGAGACTAGGACACGGAACAATGGCTTCAAACTACAAGAAAGGAGATTCCATCTGAACATGAGGAATAACTTCCTGTCTGTGAGAGCCGTTCAGCAGTGGAACTCTCTGTCCCGGAGTGTGGTGGAGGCTCCTTCTTTGGAAGCTTTAAAACAGAGGCTAGATGGCCATCTGTCAGGGGTGCTTTGAATGAAGTATTCCTGCTTCTTGGCAGGGGGTTGGACTGGATGGCCCATGAGGTCTCCTCCAACTCTATGATTCTAACATTTTGAATATACACATATTTTACTCACCATACTTCTGATGGTGTTTTTTTTAAAATGTGGGCAGTGAAAACAATATTTATTTTGCCAGGTTTTCAGTGGGTTTTATTTGTTTGTTAATTGGACTGCCTTTCATATTGTTTGTTTTGACAGCCTCATTTTTCTTTCTTTCTTTCCTTCTTGTATTAAGATTTTGTGTTATTGTTATAAACCACCTTGAGGGCACTTATGGAGGAGGTGCTCAAAGGCAGTATGTAAATGTCTTTATAAATAAATACTTACATTTATAAACCTTGTAAGACTGCAGACGTTACATCTCATTTTACATCATTAAAGAGACTAGATGCAAATCTCCCTGATTGCTTGAAACAGGTGCTTGAAAGAGAGTTTTTGAACCTCGCAAGATTAGTTCCCTAGAGCAGTGTTTCCCAACCTGTGGTCTGTGGACCATCAGTGGTCCACAAGAAAGAAAATATGGTCCACAGCCTCACCATTATGACACTGTTGCATCAACACCATACAGCAATGAGAGCAACTGGTCTTGCGAAACCCTCTTATAGTGCCGAAGCAACGGGATGTCGGAAAGGAGAGGCTACTACTACCACATCAGCTCTAGATTATTAAATATGGTTTTCCGTGGGTGAGCAGATGGCAACTATTGGATGGCATATGTTCTGTATCAGAAACTAGAGCTGAAGTGGTCTATCTAATGCAGTTTTCTGAATCAGCACCCCAAATAACCAAACCAAATGTAAAGTTGACCAAAAACAGATTCTTAACCCTTTTCGATACTAATGTTGGAGAGAGATCCCTGGTCAAAGTGGACTGTGGTCAAAGTGGTCCTTGATCAAGTGCTCCCTGGTCAAAAAAGGCTAGAGCAAGATGGAAAGAATATTTAAAATACCTATACAAGTCAATTTAGACATGATACTAATGTTCCATATATTATATGTATATACATATAATATTGATAATATAATGTAATACAATATAATACTACTACTAATAATATGATATTATAATTATATATTTTATATTAAATGTAATATTACTAATAATATTACAGTATAATGTTATAGTACAATGTAATATATAATATTAATATTGTGCTATGGTAATAATATAATATATTGTATTTACTTTTTACTTGTAAGCCACTCTGTGTTCCCTTTGGGGTGAGAAATAATAAATAAATAATAAATAATGGGAATATAAGGAAACAAGAGAATTAATGGAAAGGAACAAGAAACATTTAAAACTATGATTCGAGTTGGACAAGAAGTTATTGCATGGGGGTGGAAAGATGAAAAAAAGTGGACGCTGGAGAACTGGCACAGTTACATATATGAACAGGTGCAATTTCAAATAATGGCAAGTGTAATGACAGAGGATACACAAGGGGATAAAATAGAGGAAATAAAAAACAAATGGACAACATATATAGAATTGGTAAAGATGGATAAAGCCAATACAGAAATTACAAAGAAATCAAAAGAACTGTGCCATGGCTAAGATAACAATATAGTGAAAAATGCACATGGCTAAAGATAACAATATAGTGGAAAATGTGGTCAGGGAGTTGGGTGATGGAGGGATAACATAGGAGTTTTATTTTTCTCTATTTTTTTATTATTCTTTGCTTTAAAAAAAACAACAAGGTGGCACAATGGACTAAACCCTTGTGCTGAACTGCTGGCTTTAAGGCCGGCAGTTCAACTCTACGGGACGGGGTGAGCTCCTGCTGTTAGCCCTAGCTCCTGTCAACTTAGCGGTTCGAAAACATGCAAATGTAAGTAGATAAATAGGTACGGCTTAAGTGGGAAAAAGGCAAAAGACACTCCAATCTAATGTCCCCATGAAGGGTGTTCCATAGCCGAGGGGCCAACACTGGGAAGGCCCTGTCTCTCGTCCCCACCAAACGCGTTTGTGAAGTGAAATTCTGTTTTCATTTTTGGAAGACTCTTCCCAAAAACAGAACCGGGGGGGGGGGGGGGGCACGGACGATGGACGGACACAAAATTCAAAACAAACACATAACGTATTTCTGCCATTTCGCACACCCCTATATAGTAAAGGTAGTCCCCTGACATTAAGTCCAGTCATGTCTGACTCTGGGGTGTGGTGCTCATCTCCATTTCTAAGTCGAAGAGCCAGCGTTGTCCGTAGACACCTCTAAGGTCATGTGGCCGGCATGACTGCATGGAGCGCCCCTATATACAAGGGGTGAAATAAAGACCTTTTCCACCATAGGCTAAGAGATAAATAATCCAATCCGAACGTCTTGGGGATGACTTCTGACACCTCAAACAAGTTTTGAGGTGGAAAGGGTCTTGGTGTCATGTCACCATTGCAGTAACTCTTGCCTTTCCAATACATTTAGCACCCAAGATCAGGAGCAAGAGTGTTTGAGCATTTGCAGCAGAAGCTATCAAGATGGAAAGGACAGGAGAAGATACAGAGGGCAACACATTGCAAGGTCTTGTCCTCAGACTCTTCACAGATTTCTCTGGCCGGCTGGAAAGCTCTGGAAGTGTGAAGGATGTTCTTGCAACCTGTCAGGTTGCTATAGTAACAGGGACAAGGTACCAGATGTGTGTTTGGCTGCCTTCGAGGCCAAACTCTTTCCCCCAGGGTTTATAAAATGTGTGTGTTCGTGCACTGATGTGGAAACATGTGTGTGCATAAGAGATAATATGTGAATGCAAGAGAGAAAGGAATGCATAAGGATGGGCCAGAAAAATGGGCATGAGAGCATGGACACGCTATCTTTTAGACTTCACCTCCTAGAATCCCACATCCAATAGTCCAGTGCCCATGTAGCTTAGGAAGTGTGGGAGCTGTATTCCACAAAGTATGTTTCCCAGACTCTGTTATGTAGCTAAGCAAGTTGTTGGTTTAGGAGGGCACCAGAACCTTCCCAAATCTGGTACTCTCCACATATGGTGAAGGCTCCATCTTGCTGGATAGGATGATGGGGGATTTCATCCAACATATGTGGAGCATAACCCACTGGGGGATGGTGTTGTACAGGAATGAACAAGGCAACGTCTATAATGCAAGATATGCATGCTTCCAAATGTGACTGAGGACATTTAGATTGGAAAAAATTGAAAGAAGATGTAGTGTTTTTTGGATGGCGAAGATGTGAATTTAAATGCGTTGCCATGCCATGAAGCCAAGCCATTACCACTTAGGAATATTATCTCCTTATTTGTATTATACACACAATGGAGCCCCCGGTGGCACAGTGGGTTAAACCACTGTACCAGCAGGACTGAAGACTGACAGGTCGCAGGTTCGAATCCGGGGAGTGTGCGGATGAGCTCCCTGTCAGCTCCAGCTCCTCATGTGGGGACATGGGAGAAGCCTCCCACAAGGATGGTAAAACATCAAAACATCCAGGCGTCCTCTGGGCAATGTCCTTGCAGACAGCCAATTCTCTCACACCAGAAGCGACTTGCTGTTTCTCAAGTCGCTCCTGACACAACAATACACACACATAATGCTTTTTAATGAAAATATCTCAAATCAGATCCCTAAAATTTAAATTGGGCAGCAATTTTAGAACATTCTTTCTACTCACCTTCCACCAATCCTCATTGGAATCATCCACCAGCATGATTCGATCACCAGGCCTGAAGTGAGAGAAAAAAATGATTCTTCTCCAGACATAAAAAAGGGACAATATATAAGCATATGGTTCCCATGCCAAAAAGATCAGTCACCAGCAAGAGGCATCCTCCCTATTTTCTACCACTTAGGTACTTTTCTAGAAATGTTTTCCCAACAGTCAAAGCCCTTTGAAAACATCAGAGGTGGGAATCACATAACATTCTAAATGTGGTTGAACAGCATCTCCCATTAAACCCTGATAGCACCACTAAAGGATAGGAACTGCAGTCCAGCAAACATCTAGAGCAGAGCTTTCCAAACTGTGTGTTGCAACATGTTAGTGTGTCGGCTGCAGTGTGTAGGTGTGTTGTGCAAATGTAATGAGAAATGACAAAAATCATGCAAACATAATGAAGAATGGGATGTTGTAGGTTTTTTGGGCTATATGGCTATGTTCTAGAAGCATTCTCTCCTGACATTTTGCCTGCATCTATGGCAAGCATCCTCAGAGGTTGTGAGGTCAGTGATTCCAGCCATGAAAGCCTTCGACAATATAACGAGAAATGCATGTTGTTATTTTTTATATATTTATAAAAATACTAGCTGTCCCCTGCCACGCATTGCTGTGGCCCAGTCTGTGTTTTGCGTGTGTGTATATATTTTTGTATACGTGTATATATGTGGTTTGGTGAATGTGTTGTAATGTATTATTTATTTATTTATTGTCTCTTTAAATCTGCTGTGTTTTTCAGTGTTTTTATGAGTGATAGTTACTCGTGGGCCTGATAGCTGTATTGTGTCCAAATTTGGTGTCAATTCGTCCAGTGATTTTTGAGTTATGTTAATCCCACAAATGAACATTACATTTTTATTTATATAGATAAATGAAAGATTTTCATGAGATATGTTGTGTCCCCATACATTTCATTTTTACAATGTATATATGTGTCCCTATCTCTTATAAGAGGTTGGTTTAACCTCTCATTTGCTAGTAAAATTGAGTTACTGTGTTGCAAAATCATGCATGTCCAAAAAATATGCCACCAACATGAAAAGTTTGGAAAGCTCTGGACTAGAGGATAAGTGATTCTCAAACCGGTGGACTTTATACAAAATTAGATACTAAGGAGGCTGTCGAGGTCCTGAACCGGTGCCTGGCCGCTGTAACGGTCTGGATGAGGGCGAACAAACTGAAACTAAATCCAGACAAGACAGAGGTACTCCTGGTCAGTCGCAAGGCCGAACAGGGTATAGGGTTACAGCCTGTGCTGGATGGGGTCGCACTCCCCTTGAAGGCGCAGGTTCGCAGCTTGGGTGTGATCCTGGACTCATCGTTGAGCCTGGATCCCCAGGTTTCAGCGGTGACCAGGGGAGCATTTGCACAGCTTAGGCTCGTGCGCCAGCTGCGCCCGTACCTCGGGAAGTCTGACTTGGCCACGGTGGTACATGCTCTTGTCACATCCCGCCTGGATTACTGCAACGCTCTCTACGTGGGGCTGCCCTTGAAGACGGCCCGGAAGCTTCAGCTGGTTCAGCGTGCGGCAGCCATGTTACTAACTGGAGCGGGTGGCAGGGAGCATACAACGCCCTTGCTGTCCCAACTCCACTGGCTGCCGATCTGCTACCGGACCCAATTCAAGGTGCTGGTTTTGGCCTTTAAAGCCCTAAACGGTTCCGGCCCAAAATACCTTGCTGACCGCATCTTGGCCTATGAGCCCACGAGGACCTTGAGATCGTCTGGGGAGGCCCTTCTCTCGATCCCGCCTGCATCACAGGCACGGCTGGCGGGGACGAGAGAGAGGGCCTTCTCGGTGGTGGCCCCCCGGCTGTGGAACACTCTCCCGGCACACATTAGACAGGCGCCCTCCCTCATGTCCTTTCGAAAAAGCCTTAAGACCTGGCTGTTCGAGAGGGCATTTAATTAAGTGCTAGCAATGTCATTACGGTAATGAGAATTGGAATGGTATAAGGACGAGGAGACTGGCCTACGATTCTACTAAGAGACGAAGCGGATTTTTATGTAGTTTGTATTGTTGTATTGTGTGTATTGTGGATATTGGCTTTTGTAACTGTCTTTTTACGTGTACTGTACACCGCCATGAGTCGCCCGTAAGGGCTGAGAATGGCGGTTAATAAGTGCATCAAATAAATAATAAATAAATTGTGGCAAGTATTGTCATATACTAGGTTGTTGTAGGTTTTTTTGGGCTATATGGCCATGTTCTAGAGGCATTCTCTCCTGACGTTTTGCCTGCATCTATGGCAAGCATCCTCAGAGGTAGTGAGGATGCTTGCCATAGAAGTAGGCGAAACGTCAGGAGAGAACGCCTCTAGAACATGGCCATATAGCCCCAAAAAACCTACAACAACCTAGTGATCCTGGCCATGAAAGTCTTTGGCAATACATTGTCACATATACTATCAAACGTAAGTGTCCTTGGCAAGATTTATTAAACAGAAGGTTTGTCGTTGCTTTTCTTTTTAGACTGAAAGAGTGTGATGTCTCCAAGGTCAGCAAGGGTTTTAATTAGCGAGCAGGGATTCAAATCTTGGTCTCCTGGATTTCTAATCTAGCGCGTAAACTGCTATGACATACATACATACATGCATGCATGCATGCATACTATGATACCTTTATTGTAGTAATCCTAACAAGAACAATTGGAACTTGATTAGCATTCATCGTTATCCTCAAATTGCTAGTGTGTTAAAGGCTTTCTGAATACTAGTCTGCAAAAGCTTGGATTCAGTTAGCATGTGGTCAAAGGGCTGATCAGCTGGCACCTCATGCTCTGAACTAATGAAATTGTCAAGATAGGGCAAGGGATAGACTTACTTCAGGGGTAGGTCATTGTTCTCCTGAGGCAAAAACTTGTAGAGAGCTACATATGAGTACATGGGTGAGATCTCCTTCCGTGCAGAAGCTCGAGCCGACTGCAGGAAGAAGAAAGAAAACTATGTGTTACAGACTTTGTCCAGGTTTTAGGTTCAAGTTGGCAACCACAGATGACAAGGGTATACCCACCACATTTCTACTACTTTAGGACTTCCATGTCTCACTAGCCCACCCCGCTACCTCTGATGTAAATGGAAATGACTGGGAGATCATTCCTGGTGTTCAAAAATGTAATCTGGGACACAGGGAAGGTGTGGGAAGTGTAGAAGACAACATTTTGGAGGACAATCCTTGAAATAGGATTCTCTATTTTTTGCAGATTTTTTCTGTTGGAAATAAAGAGAGGTTGTAGGATCTGCAGAAAAACCTTTGCTTATCCTTCCAAAGCCAATGGAGATTGCAAGCTGCACAATCCCCATCCCTGCCTTCGCCATTTTTGAACATAAGGCTGCTAATCTCCTTGTTCTCCGTAAGGAAATACAACTTGATTGGTGTTTAAAAATATGTCCTGAAACAGGGCTTGCTCCCATACAAATGTGTCCAAGATTATTAAATCAGGTTGCAAAGTTACATGTGGGAACATTTTCTGAATAAACATACTGAGGTCTATTGAAATCAACTCCCCTTAGAACTGGGAACAAATAGCCACTCTTTCTACCTTTAGAAAAAGGTTGAAGCTGTATATTTAAGCTTTTTAAAAATAGAATATTGTATTGGTAGTGCTGGGGTTTATTTTAAATGTTTACATGGTCAAGAGTATTTAAACCCGAGCTTTAAGAGACAACATTTGTGTTTGGCACTAAAAAAATAAGAATGCCCATTATCTTTTCTTGGATTACACTGGCCGGCACATGTTTTGGTGCCTCAGATATTAGCCTAGTTTCTGGGTATATTTGACTTGCTGATTTTAAAAATGCCAACAGTTTTCCCCTATAAGTTCTATTTTTTTGAGGTTATATCCTATATACTGGTCTTCAACTGCTAGCCCATACAATATCATGATTGAGTTATTTTTTTTATCATGTCAGAAGCAAGTTGAGGGTACAATTAACATGTATTTAATGTGGTGCGATGTATTCTACACTAGGCATGCGTATTCAGCAGCAAAGTCGCAAAGCACAAGGGCAGATGTGTTCACTCTATTCCCCAGATGGTGCCAGTCAGCTTTTGTACAATATTATTTCTAGCACCCACTTTTTGCTTGATATTCAAGCAGTGCTTCTTATAAGTCAGAGAACGGTCCAGGGTAACTCCCAGGCATTTTGGTGTACTGCAATGCTCCAGTGGGATTCCTTCCTAGGTAATCCTCAAAACCTGAGATGCTTGTCTGTTCTGAAGATAAAAAGCACATGTCTAGATGGATTAGGAATCAGCTGGTTTTCCCTGTAATAGACAGTAAGACCACCTAAAGCTTCGGAGAGCTTCTATTCAACCATTTCAAAGCTCCTTGCTTGAGTGGTGATGTCGCAATCGTCAACATAAACGAAACTCTCTGTCCCTTCTGGCAGTGGCTGGTCATTTGTGTAAATGTTAACCATTGATGGAGCAAGCACACTCCCCTGAGGCAGGCTGTTCTGTTTTTGCCATCTGCTTTTCTGGCTCTGGGACTCAACAAAAAGCTCCTGTTTTGTAGCATATTTCCTATGAAGTGGTTGAGATGGTGGTCATTTGTGATATTATACATTTTTCTCAGGAGAAGGTGATGATTTATAGTATCATATGCTGCCGACAGGTCTATGAATAATGCTCCTGTAATTTTCTGCCTTTCAAAACTATATTCTATGTGCTCAGGCAGAGGTTCAGGTCTTGTAATGTGCAGCTTTTGCCTTTCCTGAAATCTGCTTGCTGTGGGATCATACATGGGTCTATTTTTTCCATAATTCTATGCAAAATAAGCCTCTCCAGAACTTTGTAAAGATGGCACAACAAGGAGCTTTTTTTGGATAATTGTTGTCTTTGCCAAGTTTCGAAATTACTATGACTCTTGCTTTCCTCTAGATTTTAGGGATCTAACAGGATGTAATGCAGATGTTCATCTGCTTCAGCAGCCAGAACCTTGCTGGATGCTGAATAACTATATAAGACACTAGAGTTGATGTGGGCTACCTAATGCAATTTTCTGACTCAGTGCCCCAAATAATCCCAGGAGCAGGCCTAAAAACCAAAACACCAAGAAAATTTTGTTGCTGTTGTTGTGTTATATGATCACTTTTCCAAATGCTTTGTTGATTCTCTGTCCTCATCCCACATTTTAGTATGAAATTAAATGTTTTTCACCTGCTGTTCTGGGCTCTTCTCTTCCGATGTGGTGACCTCACTCTCTGCTGGCCCCGAGAAAACTGAAACAAGAAAAAGGGATCAGGCATTTCAAGAATTTGAGCAATATAGAGGCAGTTTACAGGTTATGAACAAGATAGGTTCTGTAGGTTTGATCTTAACTTGAATTTGTATGTGTCTACACAGGCACATTTTAAAGTGTAGCTTCACCCAAATTCCTGTTGTTAACTACAAATCGTGTGTAAGTCAGGTTTCTGTAACTTGGAGATTGCCCGCATGTGGCAGCTGCAGTACATATTATCTTTGTCCCTTTCACTTCCTTTCAGAAAAGAATGCCTTGTATGCCTTGAGGATTGTCAGAGATGATGGAGGAAACCTACAGGGTCAGTACTACCATTAAACAGGGTAAAGTGGCCTTCTCAAAAAACAGATTTTTTATTTGTTATTATCGGGTTGGATTCAGACTAATATAAATCCAGTTGAAGCAGTGATAATACTGCAAATAAATTTGGTTCTAACCCTTTTATTTTTATTTTCTTCCTTGGTACTACACATTTTGACTGTTCAGGCAATGTCATCTACTGCTCTCTGTCAGGCAGCAAAATGTTTTGTGTACAGACTCATAGCCAAGTAAGCAAATGCAAGATACTCCACTTAGGCAGAAAAAATGAAATGCAAAGATACAGAATGGCTCGACAGTAGTATGTGTGAAAAAGATCTTGGAGTCCTCTTGGACCACAAGTTAAACATGAGCCAACAATGTCATGCAGCAGCTAAAAAAGCCAATGGGATTTTGGCCTGCATAAATAGGAGTCTAGTGTCTAGATCCAGGGAAGTCATACTACTCCTCTACTCTGTCCTGGTCAGACCACACCTGGAATACTGTGTCCAATTCAGGGATTGCAATTTAAGGGAGATGTTGACAAGCTGGAATGTGTCCAGAGGAGGGCGACTAAAATGATGAAGGGTCTGGAGAACAGGCCCTATGAGGAGCGACAAAGAGCTGTTTAGCCTGTAGAAGAGAAGACTTGGAGGAGACATGATGGCCATGTATAAATATGTGAGGAAGTCATAGGGAGGAGGGAGCAAGCTTGTTTTCTGCTGCCCTGGAGACTAGGACTGGAACAATGACTTCAAACTACAGGAAAGGAGATTCCACCTGAACATTAGGAAGAACTTCCTAACTGTGAGAGCTGTTTAGCAGTGGAACTCTCTGCCCTGGAATGTAGTGGAAGCTCCTTCTTTGGAGGCTTTTAAACAGAGGCTGGATGGCCAACTAGTTTAGTGCTCTGGATTTCGTTTCGGGGGTGGGTGGTGGGGTGGGTGGTGTGTGATTTTTTTTCAGGAGGGGTTTCAGGGGGGGGGGGCTGAGTTTCGGGGGTGCTGAGTCTGAGTGAAAGAGGGTCTACCCTAGCAAACCTTTTGTATCATTACCCCAATACCCCCATGCATATGGGATATATTGAGTATGGTGATCAATCATGATATGAATAAACATAACAGTTTAAATAATGCACCAGTAAGGCCTTTTCGCGAACCACCATGAGAATTTCGGGGGGGGGGTGGTGAAGCCCCTCAAGCCCCCCCCCAGCTACATGCCTGGGCTGGATGACCATCTGTCGAGGGTGCTTCAACTGCGATTTTCCTGCTTCTTGGTAGGGTGTTGGACTAGATGGCCCAAGTGGTCTCTTCCAACTCTATGATTCTATGACTCTAAGCATGCTGTACCAGTTTAAGCTTTGGACTACAACTCTGAATACCAGGGTTCAAATCCCTGCTTAGCCAGGAAAACCACTGGATGACTTTGGGCAAGTCACACTCTCAGCATCAGAGGAAAGCAATGGCAAACCTCTTCTAAACAAATTTTGAAAGGAAAGCTTTTGCTAAGTTCAGCTTTGGGTCACTATCAGTTGGAAATGATTTAAAGCACACAACAAGCACAACAAGAACAGTCTTGAAGATCCATGTCTAGACTCACTCACGAGCCTGATTTCTGCTGTTTCCTTTCTCTCTCAGGGAACTGCCCATATAAGTCAGTTGAAAAATCTAGCATTTTAGTGTTGCTGATGTTGTTTGGACATTTTGATCAATGTCCAAAGACAGCAGTAAGTGCAAATGATCATATTCATCTCTAGGATTTATTTTTTGTGCTGTTGGTATGGGCCTTCAAGTCAACCCATACTTATGGTTGACTCAATTCACAGGGTTTTCTTGGCAAGGTTTATTCAAAGGAGGTTTGCCATCACCTTCCTACAAGAGTGCAGTTTGCCAAAAATCACTCACTGGGTTTCCATGGCTAAGCAATGATTTAGATCCTAGTCTCCTGAAGTTCTAGTGCAAAACTAAAACCAATACACCACACAGGCTCTCCATTTCATGTGACAAGTGACTAAATTTCCAAACAAATTGATTCTGACAAGGCTATGTTTACTTCTTTAGGAGGAAGTACCACTGAACACAATCGGATACTCTTCTGAGCAAGAAGTCTTGTGACAAGCCTCTCAAACATAAGAAGCAGAAATAGACAGAATAAGATTGCACTGTACAAGTTATAACAAAAACACATTTTTGACATAAAATATGACCAAGCACTTCTACAGTATTTTCATTGCAAATGTTTCTAGGTAGGCAGAACACTTCTAACAACAGCCACTTCAAATCTTGGCATTTTTATAGCAGAAATTGAGAATGTATCACCATAGAGACCACTAGGTATGATTGCTAAGGACAATGGGGGTTGTAGTGTAATGTCTGCAAAGCCAAATATGAGGGTTGAATTACTTGGGTTTGGATGGGAATATTTTAATAAATCAAATGCAGAAATAATCCTTAGGATGTGCTCTTCAACTACCACTATTCACCTTTCCACAATTACCAGACAATTCATTTTTCCTCAATTACCAGACAATTGGATACATTTCTGCCAATGATGAACAAGTTTTCTGAAGCCGTCACAGAAGAAGTCGACACTCTGTTTCCGCAACCAGTGTCTCACAGTTCAACATCTTTATCAGAAGCATAATGATGTCCCCACAGATCTCCTTTCATTATCAAGAACAGATGGAAGTCAGACAGTGCTAAATCTGGACTGTATGGAGGATGTCGTATGGTGATGAGATCCAGTCTCTGAAGTTTCAAGTCTGTGCGCTTTCATTTCAGGAGTCAGCATCCTGGGTACCCATCGTGCACAGATCTTCCAATAGCCATGCAAAGCAATAATATGATCCACACATTCTTGTGAAATGCCAATTACACTTGAAATTTCTCTCTGAGTGATACAACGATCATCCCGAATCAATCTATCAACCTTTGGCTTGTGAAACTCAGTGGTTGCTGTCACTGGATGTCCAACTCTTTGTTTGTCACACAAGTCAGATGTTCCCACCTCAACATCTTTAAACTTTCTCACCCAACTACACACAGTACTCACATCAACACAATCACCATAAACAGCTCACATTCTCTGATGAATTTCCTTTGGGGTGACAACTTCTGCTGTTAAGAATTCAATGACTGCACATTGCTTAAGTCACATTGACCGACCGTCTGTGCAAGATTCCATACTTCGCACTTTAACAACACRRCTGTTCAATGCTAAGGCTTCCTGCCAAAATAGAATTGTAGAGGAAAGTCTACTGAACAAGCTAGTACCTGCTGCATACCAGTACTGCCATCTGTTGAGGAGTTATGAAGGTGGAGGCAYTACTTTTCATTCAACTCATTTTGTAGGTAACTCATTTCCACCCCAGGAGGCTTCCTCCTGCCGCCAGAGCCATGGAAGCTGCCCACCCTTTTACTAAACATGCAAAGTTAAAGAGGGTAAAAGGTCTTGCAGGAGTCWAAGAATTTGAAATGGGGCRAACACAGCTTGACTTGCTTTACCATTTCTGTATTCGCTTTGCATATGTGGTAACTTCCACACAGGGCCAACRAGAAGGGTTAGATAGATAGATAGATAGATAGATAGATAGATAGATAGGTTTTATTGATTGGCCTATTGGCCGTATCAAAACATTTAAGACATAACACATTTAACACATAACACATTTAACACATAGTCATACAACATACAACCCTCGGCATAAGAGAGGTTAAAATAAAAGAGGTTAAAATAAACAAACTGTTGGCAGATCCCGTTCAGGTCAAATATCTGTTATTGTTCTGGTATATTTCAACWTCTTTGGTTTCAGTAATAAAAGAATGGGAGTCATGCTCACCATTATCCGCTTGARTTTCCTCTGTTGTTTGGACACCAGCTTCCGTGTCCTCAGTCCCTTCATCTTTGGTCCCCTCTTCATCTTTTTCATTCTAAGAAAGATACAAGAGTGAAGAAGAAGTGAAGAGAAGAATTTAGCAGAAAGTCATTATACGTATATCAGTGGAACAGGATCTATGGGTACAGTTGCCCTCCAGCAACTGGTCCTACTCTATTTATTTATAGTATCAGAAGCAAACCAAGGGTACAGTTGTAATGTATTTTTTTTAGAGAAACACAAAGTTTAAAAACTTGGCATTATATTAAATGTCCTTTGACCGGTAGCTGGCCACTTGTGAGTGCCTCTGGTGTTGCTATAATGAGGTCCTCCATTGTGCATGTGGCAGAGTTCAAAGTGCATTGTAGTGGGTGGTCTGTGGTTTGCTCTTTTCCATAATCGCATGTCATGAACTCCACTTTGTGGCCCCATTTCTTAAGGTTGTCTCTGCATCTGATGGTCCTTGAGTGCAGTATGTTCAGTGCCTTCTAAGTCGTCCAGCCTTCTAAGTTGCCCGGGGGGAGTCTCTCATTTGGTATCAGCCATGGTTCCAGGTTTTTGCCTGCCACTTTTGGGCTCTTGCTTGCTGAGGTGTTCCTGTGAGTGTCTCTGTAGATGGTAGAAAACTATTTCTTGATTTAAGGCATTGGCGTATTGGCTGATATCCAAACAGAGGATGGGCTGGAGATGTTACTGCCTTGCTCTTTTCATTATTGGCTGCTACTTCCCGGCAGATGTCAGGTGGTGCAGTACCTGCTAAACAGTATAATTTCTCCAGTGGTGTAGGGCGTAGACACCAAGTGATAATGTGGCATGTCTCATTAAGAGCCACTTCCACTGTTTTAACATGATTATATGTGTTCCACACTGGCCATGCGTACTTAGCAGCAGAGTAGCAAAGTGCAAAATCCTACTCTGCTCATATTTAAGAATCATAGCTGTCCAGTTGGCATTGATGCTTGGCATGGCTAAGCACCTGCTGAGGACCACATGCCAGCATGGAGTCCCATTATCAGTTCCTGGAGTTCCCTGGCATTCCCTTCTCCTGCCTTGTAAATTAGACCCAAAGTGAGAGGCAAGTGAACAGGCAACAAAATATTTTATGAAGAAGTAGTGTGCCCAGGGTGGTTGGTAGATCCAAGAGGACAGTGAATTCAAGCCAACTCCCCTTCCTTCTGTAGCTGCTCCGATTTATACAAAATCCATGGGAAAGCTCTCACATGACTGGGAGCAATTGCGAGAGAAACAACTGTAAAACGTTCCTTGCTTGCACAGTAATATATTCACTAACTGCCGAAGGTATGCCAAGTAAGGGATCACCCTCTTGAAAACATCTTACCCAGACCATACCAAAAAGGGGATTGTCAATCATTGGAGCCATGCAAGATACCCGGACTATGTAGGCTATGCCATGAATCATTTATTTATTTATTAATTATTTAGGTAAAGGTAAATTTTTCCCCTGACATTAAGTCCAGTCATGCCCAACTCTGGAGGTTGGTGCTCATCTCCATTTCTAAGCCAAAGAGCCGGTGTTGTCCATAGACACCTCCAAGGTCATATGACCAGCATGACTGCATGGAGTTCTGTTAACTTTCCGCTGGAGCGGTACCTATTCACATTTGCATGTTTTTGAACTGCCAGGTTGGCAGAAGCTGGAGCTAACAGCAGATGCTCACACCGCTCCCCGAATTCGAACCTTTAACCTTTAGGTAAGCAAGTTCAGTGGTTTAACCTACTGCACAACCAGGGGCTCCTATTTATTATTTACCATTTATTTATTTCCAACATTTCTACCTTGTCCTTCTTGACCCCTGAAGGGGAACTCAGGGTGGCTTACAATGGCAGTAATCCGATGCCCACAACATACAAAAACACATTACTAACAACATTAGTAAAAGATAAAATGATTAGATTAAAATACATGTAAAACATTATTATTCATCATATAGCCGAATACAAGTCTGATTTACCATATTTCTACCTTGCCCTTCTCAACCCTGAAGGGGTCTCAAAGCGGCCTCACATATCGGCAACAATTCAGTGCCTCAAAATAACATGCAATTGGTAAACAACTACATTAAAACCAGAGAATTAAAACATCTAAAAATAATTACATCAATTATCAAAATCACATTATCCAAAGTTCAAAGTCATGAGGCTTTCTAGTTGTTTTGAGCTGCAACAACGAGGCAACAGCAGTGGTCTAACAAACCATTAAAATTTCACACCTGATGTGGATAAAGGTTTTCTGACATAGCCTTAACAAAACAGGAGCAGCACTGGATTCTTGATTTTACCCAAGGCAATCTCCTTCCTTGCCCATGGTGAAGCAGATGGGATATTTTAGGTCCATTTCATCCTCCCATGTAGCCTTAACTTCCCATAACCCGGGGTTGCTAAGATATGTTGGTTTACAATACAAAGGGGAACACAACTGAAGAGAGATATTGACAAACTGGAACGTGTCCAGAGGAGGGTGACTAAAATGATCAAGGGTCTGGAGAACAAGCCCTATGAGGAGTGGCTTAAAGAGCTGGGCATGTTTAGCCTGAAGAAGAGAAGGCTGAGAGGAGATATGTGAGAGGAAGCCACAGGGAGGAGGGAGCAAGCTTGTTTTCTTCTGACCTGGAGACTATGACACGGAACAATGGCTTCAAACTACAAGAAAGGAGATTCCATCTGAACATTAGGAAGACTTCCTGACTGTGAGAGCTGTTCAGCAGTGGAACTCTCTGCCCCGGAGTGTGGTAGAGGCTCCTTCTTTGGAAGGTTTTAAACAGAGGCTAGATGGCCATCTGTCGGGGGTGCTTTGAATGTGATTTTTCTGCTTCTTGGCAGGGGATTGGACTGGATGGCCCATGAGGTCTCTTCCAACTTTATGATTCTATGAATAGGTTGGTTGATGCTGAGACCAAGAGTTCCTAGAGTAGGACACATTTTGTACAAGAGCTGGTATCAATTTTGCTTGTTTTCCTTTCTCCTTTTTTTCCTTTCATATTGTACCATTAGGATGTAAGCCTGCAGACACTGGCTGTATTGATTTGTTATGTTTTGCACTGTGCCTGAAGCTTTTAGTTTCTTATTATTATCATAACGACACGTATAGCACACAGATGTATTTTGATTTGGGTCACATACACCTCATTTCTCCCGCGAAGGCAGCCAAGGAGGATGTGGGTCATTTAAAAATTAGTATTTCTTTAACAAAAAAGAAATAGCATGTTTTTCACAAAAATGTGGATTACTGGGAGAGAGCAAAGTAATTAACATGAAGTTAATTCCATCCCTCTCTCCTACCTTGCCATGTTAATTACTGGGTTTCAGACACTTTCAATTACATGGTTTAAACAGAACTGGAGTTTTCCCTACAGGCAAAAGAATTTGAGCTCTGGCTGTGAAATACATGCTTGATATGAGCAGGGCTCTGCATTGCTTTCCTCATTCCTCTCTGGCTTCCATCTGAGCAGCCCATGACATAATCCCATCTACAATCATTTCACATTTAATTACCGTACTCCTCTTCCCACCACACAGCTTCCCGGCTACAAGTTTCCAGACTAATTCCTCCCATCTTCTTCTTCTGGAACTCCCACACAGATGCCCACAACTCCAATGTTTGAGCCAACAAAATGCAAACTTCCCTTTGAGGGAGGAACATACCAGACTCCTGGTGGGAGACTCCGAGGTGCTGCTGAAACTGGAACGGTTCATGTAGGCTAGTGAAGTCCCATAGCGCAGAGTCTCATAAATGGGATCCACCTTTCCACTGGTCCCTGCTGGTAAAGGGAAGACCATTCAGAGTGTATCTTCCAATATGGGGACGAAACATAGCATGTTACCTTATTTCGCGCATTTCTACCCCGCCCTTCTCAACCCCCGAGGGGGGGACTCAGGGCGGCTTACAAAAGGCACAATTCGATGCCAACACAAACAATAAGATAAAAACATATATCAACAGCAATTATAAAACAATTAAAACAATCAATTATACATCACAATCCATAAAACCAGTCTAATGCTCAACATTCACCAGCTCAGAGTCCGTAAATTCATTCCACATTGTCAAATCCTATCAATTCTAGTCATTGTCCTTTGTCTATCTGCCAGATTACCCAAAGGCCTGGTCCCATATCCATGTTTTTAGTTTCCTTCTAAAAGAGAGGAGGGATGTCGATGACCTAATTTCCCCGGGAGTGAATTCCACAGGTGAGGGGCCACCACCGAGAAGGCCCTGCTCCTCATCCCCACCAATCTCACTTGTGATAGAGGTGGGGCCGAGAGCAGGGCCTCCCCAGACGATCTCAAACTCCGAGGTGGGACGTAGAGGAGATACGTTCGGACAGATGCTGGCCGGAGCCGTATAGGGTTTTGTAGGTCAAAACCAGCATGTTGAATTGTGCTCAGTCCCTGTTGGCCGTCACCCAGGCATGTAGGCGGGGGGGGGGGGGCTTGAGGGGCTTCAGCCCCCACCCCCGAAATTCTCATGGTGGTTCGCGAAAAGGCCTTACGGTGCATTATTTAAACTGTTATGTTTATTCATATCATGATCTGATCACCATACTCAATATATCCCATATGCATGGGGGTATTGGGGTAATGATACAAAAGGTTTGCTAGGCTAGACCCTCTTTCACTCACTCAGCCCCCCCCTGAAACCCCCCCCTGAAAACCCCCTGACATTTTTTTCCCCCCCCCCCCCCCGGCTACGGGCCTGTGGCTACCCCATGATTTTCATGGGTTTTTCACATGCAAGGAAGACTCAAAGTGGTTTGCCTTTGCCTTCCTCTGAAATTTAGTTTACAGAACCTAGCATTCCTTGTGGACTCCCATAGTTGACCCTGGTTAACTTCCAAGATCAACTGGGATCTAGTGCCTTCAGGATATCTAGGCAATGTCCTTACATTGGGCCAGATAATTACTCCATTTTGATCGGTAGTCTCAGCCCTAATTGGTGACAATGACATTCCAGTGTTTCAGGTGGGATTATTTTCCAGCTCTATGTAGGAACGGTGGTACTTCATCGTGGTTTTCTATTCAAGTAAAAACCAGACCAACTTTGATGAGACCAGGTATGTCCAGTGTGGTATGGAGAGAACACAGTCAATCAAGCTCCTAATTGTCTATTTTGACTGGCAATACATTTCTAGCATCCAAAACAAGAAGAGGCTCCTTAGCTTATCTCCTTCTTGATCTTTCCATAGACACTTCCCAGATTGTGTGCTTTTAAATAAATAAGTACCATCCAGCCTATCTATATATATAAAAATGCTCTGTGCATAATGAGTACCTTAAAAACAAAAGAACCAATGAACGAAATCACACCAAATTTGGCAACAAAATGTCTCACAACACAAGGAGTGACGATCACTCAAAAAATTATGATTTTGTCATTTGGGAGTTGGAGTTGCTGGAATTTATAGTTCACCTACAATCAAAGATCATTCTGAACTCCATCAACAATGGAATTGAACTAAACTTGGTACACAGAACTCCCATGACCAACAGAAAATACTGGGTTTGGTGGGCATTGACCTTGAGTTTTGGAGTTGTAGTTCACCTACATCCAGAGAGCACTGTGGACTCAGACAGTGATGGATCTGGGTCAAACTTGGCACAAGCACTCAATACGGCCAAATATGAACACAAATGGCATTTGGGGGAAACAGACCTTGACATTTGGGAGTTGTAGTCACTGGGATTCACAGTTCAGCTACAATCAAAGAGCATTCCGAACCCCACGAACGACAGAATCAGGGCAAACTTCCTACACAGAACCCCCATGACCAACAGAAAATACTTAAGGCCATCCAACCCAACTCCCTTCATCAGGGCAAGAAAACGTAATCAAAGTCCTCCTGACAAAGAGCCATCCAGCCATAGATATAGATATGATCCACACACACATATATATGTTAATGACAGATATAGTATCATAGATTTGAAAGGGGCCCCTAAAGAAGGACTATGATATGTTGCATGTTCCAGGGTGGGCAAACCAGACACTCTCCATATCAACACTGACAAAGAAACAGCCCGGAATACTGTTTACCCACAAGCATAAAGACATTACATATATTAGAATCCAACACTTTCTCATTACTTTATTTTCCAGATCAACAGACTGGGCCACAGCAACGCGTGGCAGGGGACAGCTAGTTCTGTTATAAAGGATTATGAGAGCTTCGGCCCAGCACCACCTGGAGGGTCATATATTTACCAGTCCTAAGCTGGACTCTCTCTGATCTGCCTTTCACAAACACAGTTATATGGTTTTCACCGCCTTTCTGCACCATTCAATATTTCAGAACTAGGAGTAAACATGTAAAATATGTAATTTCTGGCTCAAATAAAGTGACTTGACCCAGTTTTACTTACTGCAGTAAAAGAACTAGAAAGAATAGACCCTTTTCCTTTCCCTGGCATTGATGTATCCTCTGTCTGCAAATGTGAACCTTGAGACCCTTTACCACTTTACCACTTAACCTGGCATGGCTCAAATCCTATGGAATGCTTGGATTTGTAGTCTGGTGAGGCATCAGTACTCTTTGGCTGAGAAAGCTAAAGATCTTGTAAAAGTACAATTCCCATGATTCCATAAGAAGCTAAAGTGGTGTCAAACTGCATTAATTCTATGGTGTTGCTGCACCCACAGTCTCTGTTCATTAGAAAGTTCCAAGATTTGGACTATACACACTCTGGCTTCTCTACACTACTGCTTGTGCTCAAAATCGCTGTGATCCATCCACTGTCTAGAATGTCTATATGTCCATATCCCACAATCCAAAAACAGTCTGCCCCATTCTCACCTGCAGGGGGAGACTCCTTCGTGGTCGTGGCAGCAGTGACAGTAGCAGTGGAGGTGGTAGTAGTAGTGGCCGGCTGTGGTTGTGGATCATGCAACAGCATAGGGGAACTGAGATTACGTCTGAAAGATGCAGCCTGCTGAGGAAAAGAAGAAGAAAATCAGCTGATTCCATCCAGAAAATGGGGTTATGACGTTATGTGTTCTGAAACAAGTCAGTTTTTTCAAGAACAAAGCTGATTTGAAGCTGATTCAAGCTGATTCACACATCATGCAAAGCTCTCCATTTCTTGCTTGATTGCCCACTTGGATGAAGCGAGGAGTGAAGCAGGAGTTAGGTACACCAACATCAGGTTTATTCCAATTGTAGTTTATCAAGCCAGGAATCCTGGTTTATTGTTTTGTATCAATTAGGCCACGTCATCCATGCAGAATGTAGACACTGCAATGTCTCTTCAGCAGACTTTAGTAAGTAATACAGAAATTAATACTGTGTGTCATTTATTTCCCTTTTATTGGCAATTGGCTTGTAAATAGTTTTGTTCATCCACTTACTGCCTTTCCTGGACATTGCTGATGAGAAACTTCTTCTGAACACCACAAATGCACACTAGCTTTGCATGTCTTGCATCGCAGGCCTTGTTTGGAATTTCCTAAGAGGTAAAAAAGAAACAAATGAGATAGCTGTAACACACCGTGAAAAAGCAATTTGGGGTGTGCTTGTCTGTGTGTCGGCATATATGTGTACAGTACTTCACAGGGAAGAGAGTCGACTTCCAAAAAAGGGGGAAATAAACCAACAGAAATTAAAAGAAGGGGGTGTTCCATTCCTCCTATCCCACTCCTGATGGGAGCTGCAGTCCAACACATGTTAAAGGCACCAGCTTTGGGGAGGATGCGTTAACTACAAAAATCCTTCTATGTCAGTGTTTCTCAACCTTCCCCATACAGTGACCCCTTAATACGGTTCCTCATGTTGTGGTGACCCCCCATAAAATTTTCGTTGTTACTTCATAACTGTAATTTGCTACTGTTATGAATTGCAATGTAAATATTCGATATGCAGGATGTATTTTCATTCACTGGACCAAATTTGGCAAAAATATTTGATATACCCACATTTGAATACTGTGGGCTTGGGGAGGATTGGTTTTGTCATTTGGGAGTTTTATTTGCTGGGATTTGTAGTTCACCTACAATCAAAGAGCATTCTGAACTCCACCAATGATGGAATTGAACCGAACTTGGCACACAGAACTCCCATGACCAACAGAAAATACTGGAAGTATTTGGTGGGCATTGACCTTGAGTTTTGGAGTTGTAGTTCACCTACATCCAGAGAGCAGTGTGGACTCAAGCAATGATGGATGTGGAACAAACTTGACACAAATACTCAATATGCCCAAATATGGACACTGGTGGAGTTTGGGGAAATACACCTTGACATTTGGGAGGTGTAGTAGCTGGGATGTATAGTCCACCTACAATTAAAGAGCATTCTGAACCCCACCCATGATAGAATTGGGCCAAACTTCCCACACAGAACCCCCATGACCAACAGAAAATACTGTGTTTTCTGATAGTCTTTGGCGACCCCTCTGACAACCCCCTCGCGACTCCCTCAGGGGTCCCGGCCTCCAGGTTGAGGAACACTGTTCTATGTCATGCTTCCCCCTTTCCCATGCAATTAGATATTTCAAATATATCCTTTTGCAGGAACAATTTCTTCATAAGCACTGGATCACGAGTGTTTTCAAAACACCCACACACACATATATAGATTGCACAGGACAGTGAGCAGACAGCTACAGGCACAGGACTGAATACGTTCCTCAAAAATGAAGCTGCCTGGTCTTTAGCCTTCTTCCAACTAGAATAGACTCCTTAGCACCCTCAGATACTAGTATTGTTGCAGAATTCACAAGGTAGGCTTTTTTTGTTTTGCACTGTAAATGTTTTATATATTGTCCTTTAGCTTTAGCCACCTTTTATCTCCAGAAACAAAAGCACGAGAGACAAAAGAAATCCATACACTCAATTGCATTCTTCTATATATAATTTGTGAAATGGAAAGGCACAGTAGGTATTCAGGACATGGAAAAAGAGGAGTCCTACCAAAGTCAAAGTGTGGAAGCCCTTTGATAAATGTTTGCTACAGCTCCTCCTGGGAATCTACAATAGCCAACATGAACCCTTTGACCTATTTCAGTCAGGTTTCATGCCTGGCCATGGTACTGAGATGGCTTTGGTCACCTTGATGGATGACCTCCATAGAGAGCTTGACAGGGGGAGTGTGTCCTTGTTGGCTTTCTTGGACATCTCAGCAGCTTTTGATACCATCAACTATGGTATCCTTCTGGGTCAACTCTTAGGAATGGGTCTCAGGGAAACTGTGCTCCAGTGGCTCCGTTCCTTCCTGGTGGGCCGCACCCAGTTGGTGAAGCTGGGGGACACCTGCTCAGTTCCTTGGCCATTGACCTGGAGGTCCCACAAGGTTCCATTCTTTCCCCTATGCATCTACATAAAACTGCTGGGCAAGGTCATCCGGAGTTTTGGAGTTTGGTGCCATCTCTATGCGGATAACACTCAACTCTATTACTCTTTTCCACCAGATTCCAAGGAAGCATCTCGGATCCTTGACCAGTGTCTGGCGGCTGTGATGGGCTGGATGAGGGCTAAAAAACCGAAGCTTAATCTTGACAAGACAGAGGTCCTCTTGGCCAGTTGCGGGACCAGTCGGGGTGTAGGGTGGCTACCTGTGCTTAATGGGGTCACACTCCCTCTGAGGACACAGGTCTGCAGTCTGCGGGTCCTTCTGGACTCCGCTTTGACACTTGACGCTCATGTGTCGGAGATGGCTGGGAGGGCTTTTGCACAGTTAAAGCTCGTGTGCCAGCTGTGCCTGTACCTCGTGAAATCTGACTTGGCCATGGTGGTCCATTCCCTAGTCACCTCAAGGCTGGATTACTGCAACACACTCCACAGGGGGCTGCCTTTGAAGATGGCCCGGAAACTATAGTTGGTCCAAAGATCTGCGGTCAGGCTGTTTACGGGAGCCAGTTACAGGGAGTGTTCATCCCCCCTGTTTAAACAGTTCCACTGGCTTCCAATAAGTTTCTGATCTCAATTCAAGGTGCAGGTGATCACCTATAAACTTCTAAACAGTTCGAAGCCTGCCTATCTTTGCAATTGTATCTTCCCCTATGAAACAGTGTGTGCCCTGAGATCATCTGAGATCATCTGTATCTGCTCTCTCTTTCGCTGCTGTCCCAAGCATGGTTGGTGGGGACGAGGGAGAGGGCCTTCTCGGTGGTGGCCCCCCGGCTTTTGAACTTCCTCACCGTGTCCTTCTTTTGGAGGGAATTAAAAACCTGAATGTTCCATTGTGCCTTTGATTAGGCAATTCACCAGAAAACTATCCTGTACCTACTTTAAGATCTGCACCTTATTTTGGCCCTCTTATTGGCAACCTCGACATTTCCGACAATAGTATCCCCCAGCCCTTGTTCATTTGATTTTGGCAACTTCCATGGGCTCCTTTTAGGAATTTTGCACTCATTGAGCCTGAACTCAGCTACGTTCCCTTTATCTCAGCCACACTGTTTTATGATATTGTTTTATGGCTGTGTTGTTTTATTATTATTATAGTGATTGATTTTAACTGTGTCTTTGTTTTTATCTGTAACTCTGTGGGCTTGTCCCTTTGTAAGCCGCCCTGAGTCCCCTAAGGGAGATGGTGGTGGGGTATAAAAATAAAGTTGTTGTTGTTGTTGTTGTTGTTATCATCATACTCAAAACATAGTTGAGATTCAGCAACAGGGAACGTGAGCAAAGAATCTCTTGGTGATGTACAATGATGTACAATAAAGTATTAAGAATCACTGATAAACTGGATGTCTTTCAAGCCATATGCTTTTTAATTGTCTTAAACTGATTTGTTCAATTCTTTTAACTTGTCCAATTGTTTCAAATGCTTTTAGTTTTTCACATTATGTGTAATTACTGTTTTAAATTGGTTGAATTGATTTGATTGTACATCACCAAGAAACTCTTTGATGTAGGGGAGGATACAAAAATACTTTCATAAATAAAATGTGGAAGGAAAAGGAAGGACAACCTATGCATGTGCATGTGTGTTAGCCAGAAGTAGGGAAAGGATAGAGCAAAGCAACGAGGCTCTCCAAATACTTACCTACTATAAGTTGATGGCAGATTTCACAAGGGTTGTGTTTCTTGAAGATGTGTTCCTGGAAGCTGTGAGTCTTCATGGGCTTGAGGGGTGCCAGGGATCTCTGAGCCGCTCGGGGAGAGCGCTCTGCTTCAGTGGGCACTGGTGGGGGAGACGGAGGCGGCACCGAATCTGGGGGGCTAAGCAGCACATCCGAAGGCAGCTTGAACTCACTACTGGAGCGCAGGAAAAAGTTCTCAACACTCTTGCTCCGTAGGATGGTTTTGAGCGACAGGGAGCGCTTGAAACGCTGCAGCTGGAGAAGATTGGAGAGATAAGAGAAACAAAATGGAGAGAATGCACAACATCTGGGACAATTGCGCTGCAAAGTACAACCTTTGTCAAGCTTTCTCTGGGGTTACAAGATCTTGCCCACAATGAGAACAACAGCCTCAGCTGCTGGAAACTGGCATACAATAAGCTTAAAATGAATTGTATAATCATCTAAGCTATAGGTTCTTGTGGGTTTTTTCGGGCTATATGGCCATGTTCTAGAGGCATTTTTCCTGACGTTTCGCCTGCATCTATGGCAAGCATCCTCAGAGGTAGTGAGGTCTGTTGGAAATAGGAAAATGGGTTTATATATCTGTGGAATGACTGGGGTGGGGCACAGAGCTCTTCTCTGCTGAAGCTAGGTGTGAATGTTCAGCTGACTACCTTCATTAGCATTTGAAGGCCTGGCTGAGCCTGGGAAAATGTTTTGTTGAGAGGTGTTAAGATGTGGCGAGAGCGCACCCCCTTCCTTATCCTTTCCTTCCCGGCCCCTTTTCCAGGTCAAATGTACTATATGCGGGTTACTTGTAACAGAGTTGCTGAGGCTGCCTTGGTCTAAGCAATGCTTTTTTAAAAGTTTAAATTACACCACATATGACCTCATTACATTGAGGTCCGAATCTGTGGGGTGGGATGGGGGGAATTTGCCATCTAGCGTGGCAAATCCATGGAGCAGTGGGGGGAAAACCTGCATCATTCACTGCACACCTTACATCATCCCATGAGGGGAAGCATTGCTGCCCAACTTCCCTCCTTTTTCTCTATCAAACACGGGAAGCCTTCCATGTTCCCAGGGAAGCGTCCTAGAATGCTGCCAGGATGCTTCCTCTATGAAGCCCCATTGGAAGTTGCCTTACATCATGTAATAATAATAATAATAATAATAATAATAATAATAATAATAATAAATGTTATTTGTATTCTGCCCTATCTCCCCGAGGGGACTCAGGGTGGATTCCAACATGACAATGGCAAACATTCAATGCCTTCATAAAACAGACAAATACTGACATAAAAGCCTAGAGAAAAGGAAATACAAAAATAACATTAAAACCTAACATCAAATTAAAGCCTGTTGTTGTTCATTCGTTCAGTCGTCTCCGACTCTTCGTGACCTCATGGACCAGCCCACGCCAGAG